GTGTGTGTGTGTGTGTGTGTGTGTGTGTGTGTGTGTGTGTGTGTGTGAAGGTTTAAGAATGGAAAGTGGAGGTGGAGGGCAGGTTATGAAAGGCTTTGAATGCTGAACAGAGGATTTTATATTTGATCCTGGATGTGATAGAGAACCACTGGAGTTGATAGAGCGTGAGTGGGGCTAGAGTCAGAATGAGGGAGTGACATGATTAGAGATAAAATCAATGGAACTTGACAACTGATTGCCTTTGGAAGAAGGGCAGTGAGGAAAAGGAAATACACTTAGTTGTTGAGCCTGGGAGACTAGGATTATAGATAATGATAATTAAGAGAAGTAAGAAAGATGGGAGGAGTGATAGGTTTGTGGAGTATGATAATAAGTTCTATTTTGGACACTGAGTTTGAGATTGACCATAAATCATTCTGGCAGTGGAAATGGGGAACTAGAGTTCAGGGACAGGGACAGGGTCAGGACTATACATATAGATTTAGGGGTCATCTGAAGGTTGCTGAGGGATGAAACAGAGAAAGAAAGGGGACCAAAGCTATAGTCTGGAGGAGTACCCACGTTTAGGAGTCACGCAAAAAGAGTAATGAAGCATTAGAGAAGACAGTGAAGAAATTGTAAGAGAGGCAAGAGAAGAACAAGGAGAGAGGTAAAAGAAACCGAGAGAGCCCCAAGACAGAGGGATTGAAGTGCAATTGTTTTAATGAAATGCCTTGTCAGCAGTTTACCTAAATTATAAGTTACTATATTTTGAAGGACAGATAAGCATCATTTAAAAGTTGAAGGCAAAAATAAAATTTATGAATCACTATATATATATATATATATATATATATGTACTTGGAAATGAAGTACACGTCTGATGATTCTCAGATCTACTTATCTAATCCTAATGTCTCTGCTGACCTTCAATCTCACATCTCTACCTGCCTTTCAGACATCTCAAACTGTGTGACTTGAAGGCATATTAAACTCAACATGTCTAAAGCAGAACTCTATATTTCTACACAAAGTCTCTCCTTTTCTGAATTTTCCTCTGAGGACACAATCCTTCTAGTCCCTCAGGCTTGCAACCTAGGTGTCATCCTTGATTTCTCACTCTCTCTCTCACCCTTCACATCCAAACCTTTGCCAAGGACTGTTGACTTTCCCTTTATAACATCTCTCGTATGTGTCCCCTTCTCTCCTCTGATATTGCCACCACTTTGGCACAGGCTCTTATCACCTCATGCCTAGACTATTGCAATAGCCAGCTAGTTGGTCTCCCTACCTCAAGTCTCTCCCCACTCCAATCCATCTTCCACTCAGCAGTCAAAATAATCTTCCTTTCTACAATTTCTACTCTTTTTAAAATCCAATCCATTAGTCATCTATTACTATCTGTGGTCTTTCCCTTTAGAATATAGTATAAGAATGCCCCTTTGAGGGCAGCAAGTATTTGCTGTTTGTCTTTGCAAAGTAAACACTTAGTAAATGCTTGTTGATTGATAGTAGCAGGCACTGGGCTGCCAAATTAGTAATATACAAAGCTTACATTCTACTGAGAGGAAACAACTGGCACAAAGGTAAGTATCAACAAACAAACATTTTTATATACAAAGAAGAACACAAAGACAGAGAATTGTTCAGGAAACTGTGAATCTCTATTACAAATAGTTTTTTTTAAAAGATGTTTGTTAACCTTAATAGGGTGAGAACACCAATGCTATGCTGCATGTTTATATCTTCCCCTGGATTTCCTCCTCCTGCCTTTTGTGTATTTGTATAATATTTCATTTACTATTTTTATTTTCTTCTGTTTTACCCCGAATAACCACATTC